GTCCCCCAGTCGCACCGTGGGACCCTCGGGTCCATCCCAATAGACGGATCGGGCGAATGGGATGCCTTCACACGCGTAGTGCGTTTGACCGCTTGGGCTCACAGCATGCTTGCGGGTCTCGCGGGTGATGTGAGGGTCCTGCTGCTCAGCGACACGTCAACATGTCGGTGTGAAAGCATCCGCCTATTTCTGGGTGCGCTTCAGTCAGGTCCCTGGACGCATATCCGCCGGGCCGCGATGGGCTGCAGGGCCGGGTCAAACAGAGCAACAAAGGGCCCCTCTGGGTAGGGGCCCTCTAGGTAGGGGGGCAGAGGCTGGGATACCGTCCGCAAACACGAAGCGAGCTGGGTCCAATGTCTGTGGCCTTCTCGCAAGGGACCAACGAGCAGGGGGGACGGCAGAATGGTGACGAAATAGGACATTGATCTTGGCTGTTGGTAACATCCTGCGGTAAATCGGGTTGCCCTAGTCACTAGAATAGGGATCGAACCCCTAATTGGGGTCCCTGGAGCCGCGTGCCGACCGGTGGCTCGAGATGAGATGTGACGCCTCTCTTTTTCGCCCGCCTGGTGACGGAAAGAGACGGGAGGGAGGCGGGAGGGGTTCCTTCGCCCCTGACCAAAGCACAAACAACCCGGCATTCCTGGGAACCATGAGGATGGTCAACGGGCCAGGGGAAACAGACCCCACATTCGGATTTCCTCCCGCGCCGGAAGGGAGCCGAGTATCGGGCGGAGACTCAGCACCATTGACCCCACGCCGCCACCTTCACGAACGGCCGTGACAGCGCAGTGAGCAATATAGCAGACGAAGCGATGCTCATACGCAGAAGCGATGCACCGGCTCGATTGGCAACCGTAGACGACGCCGTAACACGCTGGAGAGGCACACCAGTCAGCGGCAGATGTCAGACTTGACAAGTCGAGCCGGGCAGCTGTTGGCGAGGCTCTTGGGCTGCCTGCCATGCCGTTCCTGGCCGTCGACCTGTCCGCTGAGACCCAATCGGGGAATCTGGGGGAGAAGAAGCAGCAGCAACAAGGCCCTGACAGCCGTCCCTTGAGCCAGTGCCCTGCCCTGTTGCCCAGACCAGCAGGTTGCAAACGCACAAGGCCAAAGCAGGATTGCAGCCCTCTCCGATGTGTGGCGGTGGGCATGCAGCCTCCCGTGGCCAAAGACGCGGCTGGCTGCGGCTCGAGCCGGGCTCTGGCCCAAGCGTATAGGGCAGCCTGTGTGTGTTGCGGCGACACATTAACTCTTCCTCCGTTTGGGTGCGTGGTGGGCGATGCTTGGATGCCAGTGCGAGCGTGGTTGGCCTGGGACTAGCGAGGAGCCGGGACCGTTTGTAGGTGACGTTCCACACTCACGTTGCGAGCGCCGGTTGGGCACCCTCTATCCTCCTCGAACACAGCACCGGCTCTTGTGTTGCCTTGCCGAGTTAATTCAGACGATCGTGCCCCAAAAGAAGCATCGAGGCCACGACGAAAGCCGTGAGGGCCGGGGCAATGCAGTCCAATCGAGCGCCCAACCGGACCAGCGCACACCGAGTTTGTGCGGGCGCGCCTCATCCTCATCCGGACCCCTTGACCGCCGCGAGCTGCTTTTTCTGGCGATGCGTCGGACAAAGAATGCGGGCGGTATTGCGAAGTCTGTTCTGCGACGCGGGTCCTCCAGCCACCCTCGCCGACGTCTGCTGGTCTCATACCCTTCCTGCATATTCAGATGCCAAAACATCGGGGATGTACCCCGGAGGCGCGGCAGCACATGCGCCAAATGTGCCGGGACGTCTGGTCCGGACAAGTTCAGGCCCGGCAGACGGCTCATCCGAAATTGTCCGTCGGCACCGTACGGCCTGCCAGCAGCAGCGGTGCCATGATGAAGAGTTGCCCTGCGTTGTCTTGGCGATCGGCCTTAGCGATCCCTCGCAGCGACACCGTTGATGCTACCAAATCCATTCGCCTCTATTGCTCGTTTTTGCTTCCAATTTCTTCCAATTGATCGCGAATTGCTGAAATGCCCAGCCGGCCTGATTGACCGAGTAACAAGACGCCGAGAACTCAGATACGCCGCGTGTGCCCTTCCAGAGAAAGGGCTGATTCCACAGCGCGTGGTCGAGCCGCGGAGTCGGAAGCGACCCAGTGGACTCCGATCGCATTCGGCATTGGTTGTGTTGTTTCGTGGACGAAGGCGCGAGATTCGACGGCGATCTGTGAACCCGCCGCGATGCCCATCGTGGAGAGCAAGAGAGTGACCGAGTGCAGGAAGATTTAATCATGGCAGCACCGCGTGAAGCAGGACGTAACCGCCCGAGGGGTTGCTGGAGGAGTGCCGGTTCACTGCAGTGGCCTTTTCCATAGGGTCGACTTGGGAGTTGCGTCGAGATAAATTTACGGACGTAACCATGCCCCTTCCAGCAGATGCAGTGCCAAGCACCCGTCCTCTGCCGCCCAACAAGGGCCCCTGGAGCCTGGGCCGCTGGGTGCTCCAGGCTCGCTGGCTCGCTCCTTCCCGGGCCAACTACCATGTGGGGACGGCGGGGGACGGGACGCAGGGGAGCCTGATGGTGGGGCAACAAGCAAGCGACGATCGAATTCAGCGGACACAAACGCGCGACAAGTTACAACTGCTCCAAGCGTGTGAAGCGACGCACCGGGAGAGAGCACACGGATCTCGTCGCGGCACCAGCTACGATTCACCGATAGACTGCGCTTGTGGATATAGATTTAGGTCAAGCAGCGATTCCCATCGCAACGCATCCCTCCCTCTGTTTTTTTTCTCACGCGTGGCGTGGCGCACAACAACCGACACCATGGACGTCGAGTCCCTGATTCGGACCCTGCGAGCATATGGCGCATCTGTCGACGCAACGGCGGTGAGGGCTGCCCTCGACAGCGAGCACGACACTGCTCTCCGGGACTGGGTATCCCTTCACGTCGCCCCAGACACCCTGCTTTCCGTCGATGAACTGAATCAGTAGGACCCCGAAACCGCGCCTCTTGGGATTATGCTCTGGGATCATGCTGAACTGCGCGCAGGTATTCGGCGCTGGAAAAGGCGGGCGTTGCCGAGAAGCTGCTGACGGCGTCGGCGGACATGGCAGCTGTCCAGCCATTCGCCGAGCACGAGATCAGGAACGCCATCGTGGAACTGAAACGGTCCACAGAGGCCATTTCCAAGCAGACCGAGGCGTTGAAGCAGCAGCACGAAGCGGTCAACCGCCTCGTCAACGGTCGCAGAAAAGAAGTGGAGACGCGAGCAAGCCTCGAGGCCAGCCACTGGCAGACATGGGATGCCAAGCGTAGGGACCTCCTTCAGGTGGTGAGACTTTGCGATGCAACGCTTCAAATCCGATGGAGGGGTCTTGCTGACGTGTTTCCCAGGTCGAGGAGCTGTCTCAAGGCCTGGATTCTAGAATCGCTGAGCTGGAGCAGCGGGGCTACGGGGGCGTCGCGGATGTGAAGCAGACGGCTGACGCCCTGTTCCACTCTGATGACAAGCTTCTGTCCAGTCTCCAGAAGCTGGGCTGGGAACTGGAAACTGAGGACCCAGAAGAGCAAGACAATGTCGTCACGCTGCGTGAGACATGTGCAAGGTCAGTCTGTCCCCTCCCTCTCCCCCGGTTCGCTGAAGGGTCCAAAACAAGGGACTAACGCCCCTATGGGTTGATCAAGTTCACTGTGGAAACCGTCCGCACAAAGCTCGATCGCATTTACCTTGAGTCCCTTGACTCATCGATGCGATCGGGTGCCACCAGACGCGTCTCCGCTGACGATGTTTCTGCCCTCCAAGAAGAGTTGGAGTCGCTCTACGCAGAGATCCTCCCAGTTGCTCAGATGTCTGTTGAACAGCAGTTTCTGGAACCGGCGCTCAAGAATCTTGCTGCCAGGCGGGGTCAGGGTCTCGCAAAGTCAGAGGAGGCTGTAACATATGTATGTCTCCATCCCAAACCTGCACCCGCATGCTGACGACCTGCAGATGGATGACTGTCTGGACTACCTGATGGACCACACCGGGGAGCTCTCGAGGAGAGTCGAGGCCTTCCAGGCATATCAGACCGCCGCGGCCGCTGTTGTTGATGTTGCGAAAGCCGAATTAGCATCCACGGTGGACTTGCCAACAAAGAAAGAACGCCGCCCCACTGTCACAGCTTCCCCAACCCGCCGGCGCAAATCCAGCGGCCACGGCAATGCGGTGTCACCAGTCCGTGCCCGGGCGCAACCAGGACGTAGGCGATCCTCTGGGGCAGGTGCGATCGGCGATGAACCACCGCTTGAGGAACTACTTCGCACCCTGGCAATCACGGCACCCCAGGACGAGTCAGAAGCCGCCGACATTGAGGCCCAGGTACGATTACTGGCATCGACACTTGCTGAGCGACGGGGGAAGGCCGAAGATGTCGGTCGAAATGTGCAACAATCCTTTGAGAGCGCAGCCTCCAGTCAGATTGCGGATGCGAAGCTTGCGGTTCAACTTGTTCGGGACTCCATCCTTGCCGAGAGTCCCTTTGGGGAGGTTCGTCTTGTGGACCCTGAGATCGAAGGCTCGCTTGCAGTGCTGGCCCAGGAGCTGGAAAATGTTAATGGGAAGTTGGAGGGCGTTAATGCTGGGCTGGTCAAAATCAAGGGCAAGAGCGCCAAAAGGGATGAGATCATCAGCCGCTGGGGGTCGTAGTGTCCAGGAGAGCAATTTACCTACTTGGCTCAAGCAAGCCGATTGCCAACGTCTGGCTGATCACGGTCAAATCTCACACATCAGCGAACACTTGTGGAGCTTTTCACACCAGCTCTCAACCAGCTTCCTGTCCCTGTTCGCAGATGGCACATGCATCAGAGAAGGCGTCATTAGCTACTTCTCACTTCATTCTGCCAACTCTCACGCCAGTGCCTTTTGAAGACAACATGCTTTACCAAAACAGCCCCTTTACTTACGTGTCCTAAAAGCGTCAAGTGGTCCGACAGTGCACTAAAAAGATATCATTTAGAAGTGCAAAAAGAGAGTTTGGATGCCCAGTAACAGGATTGAACTGTTGACCTTCGCATTACTTGATATCTCCAATGAAGATATTAGTACGACGCTCTAACCAGCTGAGCTAACCAGGCTTGTTATTGGTAGATGACTGTCATGTGTGACTCATGATGGCGGAGAGGAGGGGGCAGTGTTTGGAGTTGCCATGAAACACAGTTCCAATTGCAAGACCATACTCGACTCGGAAGCTGTGAGATATGCGGCTGACAACTAGTTTGGCATCCTGGAAAGAAGATTAAAAAGACTGTCTGCCGGGAAATGCACCTGGGGATTTTTGCATACCAAAATCCCCCTCTTCGGGCCGATATCAACTGATATACCGTGACTCAACTCGCTGTGGCCTACCACGTTGAATTCCAAATGGCATCTTCCGAAATCTATTTCGTTATCTACAGTCCACAGGAGTGACTTTCAACAGCCACATACCCATCACAACGAGCTAATCAAACATGTTCAACCGAAATCATCTGACGAGCCAGAAAGAACACCGTTCTCCGTCCCCCTATCTACCAAACACCAAGGCCAAACACAACAAACACTTAAAAGAACCACCACCCAACTACTCCTCAGTTCTTCACCTTCTCATAAATCCCATACCCCTCCGTCCTCGCAAACTGCATCCCCGCCGCAAAATGAAACAGCTTCGCCGCCACCACCATCCTATCCTTCTTCGAATACTCCACCAACCGCTCATAAAACTCCGAAAGCGGCACCACCACCCTCTGGATATACTCCCCATCCTCCAACCTCTGCTCAGGCAACTCATCCCCCTCTTCAAGCCGCGCCTCCACCATAACCAGCTGCATATTCGCACTGCTCATCCCCGGATCGGCCGCAACCACCGGGCTCACGCTGACAACCTTGCAGTCGTACCCGACCTCCTCCTTGAACTCGCGCACCGCTGCCTCCTCGGGCGTCTCGCCCTCGTCGATCAGACCTGCGGGCCATTCCACCGTGTACGCGTCCAGGGGCGGACGGTACTGGATTACGATGACGGTGGATGGGGGGCGGGAGGGGTGAAGGAGGATGTTGCCCATGGCGACGGCGTCAACGCCGGCGCGCGCGGAGCGCGTTTTGCGTGTGGCGACTTCCCACGTGCGGGGCTTGCCGAGCTGGTCGATGAATTCGATTTTTTTGAGGGCGACCCATTTGGCTTCGGTGGTGGGGAGGTTGGAGATGCGGGTGATGGTGGGTTCTTGGGTTTTGGCGAGGTGGGAGGACATGGTGAAGTTGCGTGCGAGGGTGAGGGCGATGCGGGGTGAATGCGGGGTTGTGGTGGTAAGGGTGGTGAGTCTGAGGTGGGTGATGCGGTGGTGTTGGATGAGGTTTGTAGTTTGCATGCGAAAATGCGGCGCGGAGAGTGTGAACGGTTGTTGGAAAGTTGAAAGCGTTGCGGAAGAGGCGATGCAGGTGAGAGCGTTGGAGGTGGTGAGTTGATGGGTTCCTGAAAAGCAGCTGAAGTGGGGTCATATCGGGGCCTGCCAAGTATTTTGCCAACTAAGGTACGGGTCCGCCTCAAACACGGGACGAGGAGCGAACGGCAGGTGCAAGTTCAGTTAACCCATTTTCGAAAAAGTTCGATTGGGAGACCCAAATCGCTGGCCTTTCTTGATGGACATTCACGCGCAAGGCCAAGGCGACTCCTCCCACTTCCGTCATCTACGGCCCGACAACCAGGAACGCACGGCGCCTCAACACGATAGCTTGGTACCGGTCGTCTGAACGGAAACATCCATGTCCCGTCAGCTCTGCAGATTTCCAGGTTGTCCTGCCACGCGCAAGCAAGTCATTCCCGACCAATCGCCACTTCCCGCCTTGCCCGTCTCCAAGCCGGGAGAACAGAACAGTGGGGACGCTATGTCTGCCGCCGCAGCCACACTCAATTTCCATGGTGCGATCAGCCTCAGGTTATCTCGCTGCCGTTCACTCACCTCCAACCTGCTTGTTGTTGGGCGCCTGAACCAACCTCTTCGAACATCAAATAACGACAGCCCGCTTGGCTCAGTGGTAGAGCGTATCACTAGTAATGATAAGGTCATCAGTTCGATTCTGATAGTGGGCATTTATCTCTATTTTTGCTCTCCACTCCAACTGGAGTTCTACCCCTTTTTGAGAGGTTCGCGTTGTTGAAGTTCTCACATTGAATCCAGGACGAGGTTGCACGAATTTGTACGACGGAGGGTGGCGATGAGGCGGTGTCCATGCTGATGACTACGCACCAGAATCGTGGATCGAAACACCACCTGGAAGCTCCACAATGTCGACATGGAGGATTGGCACTATCGATTGCCTGCTGCTCTCAAACCCCAATCTTCTCCTGTAACGAAAATGCGAGATCCTGACCAAGACGGTCCGCGCGGGAGGTTCAGTCAGCAACAACTGCCGATCCCTTGGCTCGTAGGGCTTAGATTTTTTGGGAGTCCAACTCCTGACCAATCGCATACCTCGGCCAGCACCTCATTGCAGATACGCGCATTTGGGCTTTGCTGGCCAATCGCAAAGCCCCGTTCTGAGCCTCTGCCCAGCTGCGTCGACGAAAACAGCCACTCCCCAAGTCTATCTCGACGTCAGATCTAAACATCAACAGTTAGGCTGCGAATCCGCCGGCCTCACCGGCCTCATCCAAGGCCGAATCCGAGCCAGGCTGAGCTCGCGACAATGTCTATAAGACTTTCGGCGTCTGCTTCTTCGTCTTTGAGGATGATCTATCAAGTACTACCAGCAATATTCGAAGAAACATAAAAAACACGCATCATGGTCTCGACAAAGACCTGCCTCGGGGTCGTCCTCACGAGTCTGCCGATCCTCGCCTCTGCCCGAGTCGCGCCTCGATCCACGATCCAATGGGGTCCCTGCGAGGAGGGCGAGTTCAACACAACGCTTACGGTACAATGCGGCACCTTGGCCGTGCCCCTCGACTACACAAACCCAGACAGCAAAACCTTCGATCTCGAACTTCTTAAAATTGCCGCTCCGATCCAACCATCCCGCGGAAGCATCCAGCTCAACTTTGGCGGCCCTGGAACGCCGGCTCGAGGAGGCGCTGTTGCTACGGCTCCGCTGCTTCAAGTGTAGGCACTCTTTGTCCCTCCGAGTCAAAACAATGAAGTGTGGACTAACAACACCGTTCAGACTCAGTGGCGGCGAATACGACTTTGTGGCTTTCGATCCCCGAGGAACGGGCAAGACAATCCCCTTCATCTGCACCGAGGATTTGTACTACGTCGGCCAGATCCTAGGTGATACTCGATCTTCCAACGACTCGGACACGGCTCTGCGGCGGTTGTGGGCACGGGGCACGACTGATGGCTACATCTGCCAACATCTGGGCAGGGGCAACGAAACAGCCGAGTACATCGGCACCGCGTTTGTTGCGAGGGACATGATTAGCGTTGTGGATGCGTTGGGTGAGGACGGACTACTGAGATACTGGGGCTTTTCCTACGGCACTACTCTTGGTGCCACGGCAGCGGCCATGTTTCCGGACAGGATCGACAAGGTGATTTTGGACGGTGTGCAGAATCCTCATGAGTATTATCATGCTCACGTGTAAGTTTTCTCCCCCCTGTTCTGGAGCTAAAGTTCCCCATATTCTAGAATCAAACTAACAGATCTATCAGCGACTTTGAAGGGTGGACCGACTCCGACATGGTCTTCAGCCACTTCTTCACCTCTTGCATTGCTGCTGGACCGGAAAAATGCGCCCTCGCCGCTCTCAACAAGACGGCCGCAGAGCTCGAGCACGACACATGGGCATTGTTCGACAGGCTCCGCGAGGCCCCCCTTTCCATCGGACCTACTGTTTTCGACCTCGTTTCCATCAAGGGACTCTTTGTCGGACAGCTCAAGGACACTTTCACCTGGCCCGCTACATCGCAGCTCCTGGCTGTCCTGCTGTACGGATCTGAGGCACAAACTCAAGCTGTTCTCGGCCCCATGTTTAGCCCTGCAACGAGCAGTCAACCCGACCACCTCGCGACTTTTGCTTTCACCTCGGCACTTTGGGGCATCCACTGTGGCGACCGAATTCCTCGGCTTGCGTCCTTCGAAGAGTCCATTCCCGAGTTTAAGAGACTTGAAGAGACGAGCAGGCTGATGAGCGATGTGGCGGCGTGGGTTACGGTACATTGTGCGCAGTGGCCGTGGCATGCCAAGGAGACGTACATGGGAGACTTCCACGTAAAGACCAAGAACCCCATCTTGATTGCAGGCAACATCTATGACGCCCACACTCCGATTCGCTCTGCGCACAATATCAGCGCCGGGTTTGAGGGCAGCGGCCTGCTCACAGTAAACGGCACAGGGGTAAGTTGTCTCCCATCACCTTCTACTCGCGGATGAAATGCTTACCCTTCACAGCACTGTGCCCTCAGCGCACCGTCAGAGTGCTCCTTTGCTTCCATCGTGGCCTACTGGAGCAAAGGCATCCTTCCCGAGCCCGGAAGCGTCTGCCAGGCAGCAGGACCCTACGACGGCTACACCTGGACAGATGTCTTCGCGGCCCTGGCCCCCACGAACGGCACTCAACTGGAGAGGCGAGCACGCTGGTTGCCTTGAAAGCTGATAAGATAGACCCTTTCGTATTTTGTACTGTATTCCATATCATTTCCATCATAGAAACTCCATCGCATTGATTCAACCTATCCACCCGTCTCGCATCTCCTCGTGGGTTTCCCGCATTGCAAACCCCCGGAACACGCCCGACGGTTGACTTGCAAACCTCAAGGGATACTTGGTACTCTCCTCCCCGGCCACCTCCTCCTCAACCCCCCCAACCTCACCCACCACCCCGCTCACCAACCCCGGCGGCAGCAAACACCCCTCCAGCGGCGCCAACTCAACCTGATACCGCGTCCACGCGATCCCCTCGGCCACACCTGGCACATCCGCAATCGCCGACCGCACCAACATCTCGGACGCCTCCCTCACCACCTCCCTCCCCGTATCCCCCACAATCCAACCCCCCCATTCGCTCTTCGCCGCCCGATCCGCCAACACCCCCCAATACATAATCACCAACAACGCCATCGGCTCCCTCGTCCTCATCCCCCCCACAAACTCCTCCCCCGCAATC